GTTTAGCCCCCAGCAGTGGTGGGGAGCCGCAGAGGAGCTGTCAGAGCAGGGTGGGGGTAAGGGTGGGGGTTTGAGTGTAGTGGAAATTGTTGGTGACCAGGTGAAGAGTTGATGGGATTTTATTGCTCTCCTGGGTGTTGAGCCTTTAGGATAACCTAAAGGGAGTTTAAAAAATGCTGAAATGCTCAAAATTAGGGTGGTGTTACCCAGCGTTAGCCCAGTGGGATAGTGCTTCATGAACCCTCCTGGTGTTGACCTCGTTGTGCGATTTTCTGAAGTTATTAGTTCTGCGCTGCTGTGGGTTGGTTAATGCTGCTGACAGGGATCGTTTTGGTCATTGTAAGTGGTGGAGCTGACACCTGGCAGCCCCAGCACAGGAGAAGCCCATGGATTTCTCTGGCTGGAGTACAGCTCCAGACCTGTCGTGATTTGGTTTTAGCTCGGTTGGTTTTGTTGAAAAAAAGCTGTAACATTGTGTGTGTACTCGGGGAAGAGATTGGAGGGAGTTGGCGTTACTCTGTAAATAAAAGGGGGGGTAAAATGGGCTCCTGGTCACTTTAAATGGGGTAAATATACCTAAATGGGGTAAAACTACCTTGAACACGTATTTAAAAACAACAACTTTGAGAAAGTTGAGTTCAGAAGCTCCCACTGCAGCCCCATGAGCAGTAACCAGGAAGCAGATGGAAGGTGTGCTCCTGTAATTCTCGTGCAGTGTGTTTCCCCTTCGGGTCTCGCCTGAAGCAGTTGTCAAAGGGGGTTTAAGAGAAAATCAGTCATGAAAGATCCTGGGACCGTGGCCGGGTGGGCTGTCGGCACTGCGGTGACGGAGAAAAAAAATGGTTTGTGTTGCCTGGTGTGGATCAAAGGCAGCAGAAGCGGCTGTGGGTTGTGCTGTTGGTGTGAGGTGCTCTGGAGGGTTTTGTTGGGATCAGGGGAGTAGATTCCGTGTGGCTACAGACAATGTGGCTGTAATTCCAGGTGGAAGGCGGCGTACCTGCGGTGTCACTGAAGGATGAGTGTTCCTGTCCCTTTTAGGGTTCTGAATCGCTTGGTGGGACTCAAACAGGCTGCCATACATTTCATGGCTTAAATGCTCCAATTGGATCGCTTACAGCACCATGAGGAAGATGAAAAAGGAGTTTTCAAGATAAGCTTTAAATAAAAACTTATTTTTTTTTCTTTCCAGGTTTAGGGGGAAAACCCGATACGAGTGAAAATGTTTAACAAATCCTTTGGAACTCCATTTGGAGGCAGCACTGGCTTTGGGACAACTTCAACTTTTGGACAAAGTAATGCCTCAAATCTGGCTTTTCAGTCCGTGGGGTGTGTTTTCCTGGAGGTGCAAGCGGGGGGTCAGGCAGAGGTGGGGATTCTGTGTGACGGAGCTGGAGCGCTGCGGGGCTGCCCTGCTCGCTCTGCGGTGGCGGGAAGCAGAGCGGTGGATCGGGGTCTGGAGCCCTGAGCCTCTCTGCTAACGCGAGCTTTGAACTTTGGGAGATCCCAGGACTCCATGTACAGTTGTTGAAATTTCCTTTTTTAAAAGGAGAGGGAACTGGGATGCTTAGATGAAGGCCATCTTGCCAGGGTGGGGGAAAGATTCTTTCAGTCAGCACTGGAATATTTTGGGAGGAGTTGGAAGGAAAAAATCTGCAGTGTCTTCTGGAGATATGCATTGTGAATACCCCAGGGAGTGAGTTTTTAGCCATGAAAGCAGATTATAAACTGCTGCCGTGTGCCCTGTTTGTTAGGAAAGAAGGAGAATCATCCTGCTTTTGTTGCTCCTAGAGCAGGGTACGAGAAAAGCAACTTCCAGGTGCCCTAAAAAGTGGCAGAGGTTTTGCAGAGGGTCAGTACGTTCTGGGGAAGCAGCTGATTCAAGTATCGCAGCTTTTTGCTTCAAGAGCTCTGCACAAGTGTCAGTTGTACCGCTTCACCCCTCCCGACGCTGCTGCCTAGGTGGTCAGGCACAAACTTCTTTTTGGAAGCTGAAAAGGCAGTAACAGGATTTTGTTTCTGCGGCGTGTGTTCAGAATATGATTTCATCTAAACTGTGATGCTGATTTTCAGATGCTGGCTTTGGTACTACGAGCGGAGGAGCGTTTGGAACGTCGGCCTTTGGGTCGAACAATAATACTGGCGGCCTCTTCGGGAGCACGCAGGCAAAACCAGGTATGGCTGTGTTATGGTTGCGGAGCAGAACTCGATCGAAGAAGGATGTTTTTTAAAAAAAAGGGGAGAGGGAAGGAAAGGGAGAAACCAACTCCAACCAACTACCAACAAAAGCAACAACAAGAAAACCTGAAAACCAAAACCAAACAAAAAAAACCCCTGAAAAACCTCAAGCAGTTGATGATTGCAAATGATTTAATAATCTGTCTCTGTCTTCAGGAGGATTATTTGGTTCGACTACATTTAATCAGCCAGCCACCTCCTCCACAAGCACCGGCTTTGGATTTGGAACGTCGACTGGGACGTCAAATAGCCTGTTTGGAACGACCAGCACTGGCGGGGGCCTCTTCTCCTCCCAGAACAATGCCTTTGCTCAGAACAAGCCAGCTGGGTTCGGAAGTGAGTAAAACTGACGCATCTCTTGTGAACGTTGCTTGTTTTCTTTGATTGAAGAGCACAGAACGTTGGATGTGCGTGTGGATCTGATACAAGTGTTAACGTGGGGGTTTGGTGGTTTTTTTTTCTCCTCGAGGATTTAGTGATGTTATTGTGGTCCTCAGTAGCCCAGAGTGCTGCAAAATCTGTAGTTACGATTCTAGCCGTGAGTTTTAAAATAAGCAGTGTCTTTCATTTTCAAACTGTGTTGTAATATGAATAAAATATTTGGGTTTAACTTTTAAAATGAAGGTTTGTTTTAGTGCTGATCTTTTTTTTTTTTTTTTCTTCCCCCCCCAGACTTTGGAACCAGTACCAGCAGCGGAGGTCTCTTTGGAACCACCAACACCACTTCCAATCCTTTTGGGAGCACATCTGGCTCTCTCTTTGGCCCAACTAGTTTTACCGCTGCTCCAACTGGCACGACTATTAAGTTTAATGTAAGTTCTGGTCTTGTTTCTTGAAACCAATTAGTGGAGGAAGCGTTGAATTTTGCAGTTCCTCTCTTAGTCACTGAGCTGAAATTTGGAAATGAGTAGTTTGTATGGAAGTATGCAGTGTTCTGCAATGGCTTGAAAACATCCCCTGCAGTGGAAATAGGATGTATCATTAACTCCAAAAAACTAGACTCTTTTTAAAATTCTGAATTTGACGAACTTCTCAAACACTGGGGGGGGAATGCCCTGTCCAGACTTGCTAGGTTTACAGCTGCTCTAAAGCTAGAGAGGTGAAGCAGCTCTTCAAATTGAACCTTCTCAGGAAGGTAGGAAGTCCCCAGAGTTCTGGGTGGTCAGCGCTAAATCCTGACAGCCAGGAGGGTTAAAAACATCTTGGAATGGCTCAAAATAACTGCGCTTCTCACCTAAGTCAGCCTGGCTCTGGGAATGGAAACCGAAATGTGGGGGCTGGTCCCCTGCGTTTCAGGATGAGATCCCTTTAAGAAAGGGTTAAATAACGTCCTGTGGGTTCTGTGGCAGTTGAAAATGGAGGATGCCTGGGGAAGGAAGCCATGGTGGAGATGGGGTAACAGGTACCTGCTGGGAAGAGCTGCTCTTTGTCTCAAGTACTTGCTCGTGTAAATCTCAGCCCTCTTCCTCGCCAGGCTGAGCTGGTCTAACAGACGGGGGCTTGGTCGTTTCTGGAGGCAGGCAGAGCGGCGACGGTCACCTTGAGCACTCCAAGTGCTGTTGATGTGTGCTGTCATAGCGCAGTTAAAAATGGGGGGTAATGAGCTCCATGAATAGCTGGGGGCTTTGTATCACCAGCTTAGGTAAGCTAGTTCTCACGTGGAACTGAACGATGGGTCGCGCTGCCTTGTTATGAGTGTGACTGGTGTGGACTCTGCTGCTGGTTGTGCCCATCACCGGGCGAGGCCATGGCTCTGCAGGGGACAGTTCAGGTTCTGTGCTAAAATGAGCTTTGAACAGCATCTGCCAAGAGAGTTCAAACTGGATTAATGGAGGTCTGTCTGGATTTTGAATCTGAACCTTTTCTCTTGCAGCCACCAACCGGGACAGATACTATGGTAAAATCTGGCGTTAGCACCAACATCAACACCAAGCACCAATGTATTACTGCGATGAAAGAGTACGAAAGCAAATCTCTTGAGGTCAGTCCATGAGTGTTCAGACGTGCTCATCCTGTTTGGCTGTGGTTAGCAGTTTAGCAGAGCTTCTTTTATCCATAATAATTATCTTCTGTGCTCATTAACACGAGTACAACCTTCAGTATCTGCAGCACTCACAGGAGAGGGCTGTTGGCAAGGAAAACCCTTCATGCCTCACCATATTAATTGCATTTTTTTTAAACGCTTAATGCTGATGGTTTTGAAGAGCTGAGATTCCATCTTGCCGTACACCAGAAGGGCGAAGGATCCTGTTGGGAGCAGTCCTGCGCTGCTGACATAATGGCAGGACCTTGGGCAAAACTTAGAGTTGTTTAATATACACTAGTGTTCCCAAGGATTTAACCTCATGGCACTGTTCTAGCCTTGTCCTGTGTAAAGAGATCTGGATTTTCCTTTTCTAGGAACTCCGTTTGGAAGACTACCAGGCAAACAGGAAAGGCCCCTCGAATCCCGTCGGAGCGGGAGGAGCTGCAGGCCTGTTTGGGTCTTCCACGGCTACGTCAAGTACTGCTACAGGACTTTTTGGCTCTTCTACTACTAACACAGGCTTTTCATATGGACAGAATAAAACTGCTTTTGGAACCAGTAAGTACTGCCTGTCCCCTGGCATTGCTGTGACGGGACATGTAGATATTCTGTTCAGCTGTTTAAAGATGAGGTGACACTGGTGTGAGCTCAGAATTCTACTGAATGTATTATCAACATGCACTAATTGAGTTTTTTGCTGTAGAAATCTGTATTGACTCACTCTTCTGGGGTTTGCAGACTTCTCTGCATTCCCCAAGTCTTGCTGGAACACAGCTCATCAGCACATCAGGCTAGTCACGTAGTTCCCATGGACCAGTAAAATGGTTTGAAATAAAAGCACCAGGATGTTGCTGAGGATTAGTAGGGTGATGGCATCTGTTGGTTAATGGTGAAGTCAAGATTCTACTTCTGCTAATGAGGGAACATCAGTTCCCTGGAAATGGCCAAGTTAATTTAGAGTTCCCCAGCCAGACTGTGCCAGGAGCTTTTCTCTGCAGTAGATCAGGGTTAGGACGGGGACCTGGTCTGTGTTGTGCTGTCCTGGTTTCACACTGTCCCTTTTGGCATCCTTGGTCAAAAAGTAAAAGCCGGGTATGGAGAAAGTAGTTTACACAAGTATTTGTGTGTGCGGTAGTTGCGGGGCAGTCGGGCTAACCTGGACCTTTTTGAACTTAGTGGAAAACAAATAGTGCTGCAAAGCTCAAACACAGATCCTATTTCTATTATTTTCTGCTGCAAACCTAAACGTAAGCAGATCTTTGTGTTTGTGGAATTAGACTGGGAACAGGAGAGCAAGGTCCTATGGTCCGCAGAAGCGGTGATCTGTGGTAAGACAGGCTATCGTGGGTTAGAATTGTGCCTGTCCTTAGTGCCAGGCACTGCTGTCACGACGTACATCCGTCTGAACGCAGATGCCGTGCCGTATGGATGACGCCCGGTGTTCTGCTGCTCCGTTGAGATGAAGCATCTTTTTTTTCCTGTTTGCATGAGCTGAGCGTGGAAGCACAGTGGGTTTGGATAAATGGCTGTGGGTTTTTTAACTGTGTGTTTGTATGTTGTAGGTACGACTGGCTTTGGAACAGGAACCACAGGGGGTCTTTTTGGTCAGCAGTCTCAAACTACGAGTCTGTTTAACAAACCCTTTGGTCAAGCCACGACGCAGAACACGGGCTTTTCCTTTAGCAATACCAACACTCTGGGGCAGCCGAACACGAACACGATGGTAAGAGAAAGTGTTTGAACCCTTAAAGGTGTAAGCTGTGGTGTAGCTGCTCCAGCTGGACGTAGGAGGCTGCCATACAGCAGTTGTGGTCCAGCTTTAGGAAAGGAGGATTGTTGGGTTTCCTTCTCTGAGCAGTCTGTTCTGTCAATGCAAGTGTTTCCCATCATCTTCACACAGATAATGTAATTACATTATTAACGTTCTGTGGCAATTCAGGAACAATTCTGTACTTTCTGGTGACTAATGAGCAGCATTCATGGCTCTTCTGCAGAAGGAAGCTACACAGGTGTAACGGGTTGTGTAGCTGGAGGCTTTGCCTCCAAACCTACTGTATTCGTTCTGAATATGCTGTGACTTCTCCCAGAAAATCCCGTGAAGTGTTTCTTTTCTATGTCCCTCACCCAAAGTGATGAGGAAATTCCAGTATCCTTTGAAGCTTGGAGCATAAATGATTTAATTTTTTTTTTTTTAATTTTCTTTTTGTAACAAACTTCTTGGAGAATGACTAAAGCATCTGAAAGGCTTTTCACCCACCCTCTTCCCCCAGCAAGAGGGGTCAGGTTGTAGCATCATTGTATTAACTGACTGTGTGTGTTAATAACTTTTATCACCGATGCTAGGCGTTGAAAAGCACTGCAGTGTGATCTGACCCGAGTTCCTCTTTGTAGGGTCTGTTTGGGGTCACCCAGCCCTCCCAGTCTTCAGGCCTCTTCGGAACAGCTGCCAATACGAATGCTGGGACTGGATTTGGAACCGGAACTGGTCTTTTTGGACAAACTAACACAGGATTTGGTGTTGGTGGTTCGGTATGTCTGTACACCACAAAAAATAAAAAGAATAAAGCCAAAAAGAAATAAAAGCAAATGGCTTAGAGTCATGTTCCTGGGTGTTGATCTCTGCAAAAGTAGCATTACCTTAAGAGTTAAGATGCCCAAGATGGAAAACTGACGGGGTTTTGTGTAGGCTGAAGGGTACAATATAGGCGTGTGTAATAGAACTGGTGTTGAAGAAGTCATTTTTTTTAACAAGTAGTGCCTTGAGTGATAAAAGAGCAAGAGAGACCGAGCGTCTCCCTGCCTGTCTAGTGCTAGGGGTGCCCCAGCGCAGCGATAACAATACAGACATTGAAATTGTCACGATGACTTAAACAAAAATGAATGATATTCAATCATTTTGATTGTGATGGAGTGACAATCCTAGAATCATTTCAGTTGGAAAAGACCCTTAAGATCATCGGGTCCCATCGTAGGCGGGCTGGGTGGCGTGGTCCGAGTTGTGGTGGCGTTAGGTCTGCTTTCTTGTCAAATTCTTTGCAGATTCCTGTTCTCTTCCTTGCAGACGCTGTTCGGTAACAAGCCTGCTGGATTTGGAACCACCACCACCAGTGCTCCCTCCTTCGGTACCACCACCGGCAGCGGGCTCTTTGGTAACTAACCACCCCTGACTTTAGAAACCCATACAAACGCTTCCACTTTTGGTCCACATAAAAAAAAAAAGGGGATTTCAGTCACTTAAAACTATTCTGCATATACCACACACCTGGCTGCTGAGGGTCACAGGCTAAATGAGGGGTGAGATTCTCAGGTAAGCCAGGCTGTGGCTGCCTGTGGCTGCGGGGAAGCGTCTTGGCCGCGGTTTTGTACCTTTCCTCTTGGTGTGCTCCCTGACTGGAGGAGGGAGATAGTCCAGTGAAAGCACCGCTCGTTGGGTGGTTGAGAGAAGGTGTGACCTGTCATTGGAAAACTGAAAAAACACAAAGAATTCAGACAACATAGAGGTTTGTTAAGGGGCTGTAAATACACTCTGGTCGCAGGAAGGAAATAGGGTAAAACCAGCGGTGCCTGCAGCTTGGTGGCAGGGACAAGGAGGTCATGCACGGGACAGTGCTGCTGTTGTTTCTCATGGTGTGAAGGGTCAAAGTCCTGAAGAACTGGGTCTTGTGGTAACGTTGCCCCTGAGAAATGTGTAGTGTAGAAAATGAGAGTCCTCCTTCCCAGGGCTTCTGCTGAAATCTGGTTTGGGTTTTTTTTTCCTTTACTCTGAGAGCAAAAAAACTGTGTTCCTGAAAGTGAGAGCAGTGGGTTTAGATACTGACATCTGTCTTATTTTTAAAAATTATTTAATATCAGAAATAAAGCAATTAACCTGCTGTAGCAGCCTGCTGGAAGGGACAGAGGAAGGGAGTTGTCGAGCTCAGAGTGCCCGGGCAGCGCCTTGAAAGCAGAGTTTTGCTGCAGTGACCAGCCTTGTGCAAACTGTTCGCACGGTATTTGGAAAGTTGCTTCTGAGTCCCTTGTTTGGCTGTTCTCGGAGCAGATCCTGATCTTTGTAGCCACATTAGTTAGCGTGCTGGCGCTGTTTGGGGGTGAACGATACCGCTGTCAGGATGTTTTTAATTTCCCTGCATTGCTGGCAGTGGTACAGCTTGCAGGAAACGTGGAGTTTGATTCTGAGGTGTTTCTGATGTTAGTCCCTGACTGCAGGTTTCTAGTTTAATTCTCTCTTTGCATCCTGACCGACCGTGGGATGGATTCACAGTCTGCAGTTCATTCCCCGATCTGTCTGATGCTAGAGTTGGACTGTACTTAGTTACAGGGAGAGATGTGTCTTTGTGCTTGTCCGAACCTGAGTTGTTACCCGCTCTGTCGGGAAGAACCAGAGACGTGCGGGTGTGGTATAAGCAGTATAAAGTGGGATTTGCTCCTTCGGGACAGTTGAGGGAACTTAACACATTTTATTCTGTGGCCAGATACAGCATCATCACGTCCATTTTGGCTTTCAGTAAGATTTTGAGTTTGTAACAAATTGACAAGCTTAAAGAAGGCTAAACAGTATTCGTCTGTACTGATGGTTTCAGTATTAGGTTCATAATTAAAATCTTTTTTACCACTGCAGTCCCTTCTTGCTGCTTGTCAGTTTACTTCACGTTGTTGGAAACACTTTGTGACATTTGACCTGAACGGTGCCAGGGCTGTCTTTGAGTTGGTGATTTAATTAAATATGTTTTTAATTTCACCTCTAATAGTGTTAGACTAACAAGCTGCTGCTTCTCTTCTTGAAGGTTTTGGTGCCAACCCTGCTGGAAATAGTTTGTTTGGAAATAAGCCAGCAACTGGGACACTGGGAACTGGCCTTGGAACGGGATTTGGAACAGGTAAACAGTTCACCAGCTTATTCATGACAGCATAAGCGCAGTCTTTGAGCTTCAATGATAATACAGCCGTGGTATCACTTGCTAACTTGCTACAATTTAATAACTAATTGATTCTTTGTTGTGGGATAAATTGGGTTCAAAGCTTGTCGCAGTCTTGTAGTAAATGACAGTTATCTCTGCTGCCACAGCTCTTGGGGCAGGACAGACGTCTTTGTTTGGAAACACCCAGCCTAAGCTTGGCACGCTGGGAACGGGAGCCTTCGGAGCGCCGGGATTCAACACGTCGACAGCTACTCTGGGCTTTGGAGCCCCGCAGCCTGCTGTGGGTAAGTCTGCGTTGCCCCGAGTTTAATTGCTGCCTGAACATAGGAGCTCATCCCACCCAAGTGCTTTGGAGGGGGAAAAAAAGGTTTGAGCATCTGTTTGAGGCCGCTTTCTGTTCTTGGTAGCAGTGGAGACCATGTTAATGACATTTTCTTGCGCTGATTATATTTTTAAGCAATTCAGTTACTTAACATTACTGATAACTGTGGCTATTTTAGAGCTTTTGTCATCAAGTTTACTTATGTTTCCCATCATTGAGTTTGAGGGAGGAACAGTAGGTGCTGATAGGAAAAAAAAAAAAGCTGAGGGAAACGTAGGATTAGCTTCTTCAATAACTCCAGGGAGGAGAGCTAGAGAGACTGAACGAGGGGGCAGGCTGTGCCTACGGTGAACCGAACCGTCTCTAGGTTCAGGCGCTTGCACTAGTTTTGTAAGTTAAAACGTGTGCCTCTTCTAGCAGTGTTCACCTTGCCTGGCGGATTTGAGCGCTTTAAATGAACTCTCTCCGTGCCCTCAGCTTTTCACAGGTTGAAACTTATTGAATGTAGTTATTCCTAATGAGGGAATAGAATCTGATTTCTTCCTTCAGATTGCTGCAGAAACGGTGACTGAGGAGCAGGGGAAAGGAATGCTGAAGTTTGTGTGGAAGTTTAAATTTCTGTGAGGAGATCCTCTGATAGGAAGGATGTGCTTTTTTTACCTCTTGTTTCTATTAGTACATCTGTTAAAACTAAAAAACGTTCTTTTTCTAGCCCTGACAGACCCACACGCATCAGCTGCCCAGCAAGCGGTGCTTCAGCAGCACCTCAATAGCTTGACTTACTCACCCTTCGGAGATTCTCCTCTCTTCAGAAACCCCATGTCAGACCCAAAGAAGAAAGAAGAGGTAGGTGCAAGTTTTGAAATGACTTAGTTTTCACTGGAGTACACAATGAGCAGCAAAATAAGTTGCCATCTCTATACTCATACTGGTGCAGTGGCTTTTTATCCTTGGCAGGATGCAAAATTCTTATACTGGGGCTTTGTTTCCTGCTTTTGAGTACATCAGAGCTTTGGCTTTGGAGTTCTGGTTATGCTCCCTGCTGCTGGTTGAGAATTAGGATGGGTAATTGTCTGTGCTTGGAATATTTTTAGTGCTTACCTTGAGCTTGACTCATGACATCTCTTCGGACAGTCTCTGACAAACCATACCCTGTTGGTTTGTTTTAAAAGGCAACAAACCAAATACTTTTGAAACTTTCTAAGTGTTATGGCAAGTTTTAAACATCTGCTGCCCCTGGGCAAATGCCAGGGGCTTGAGATTGCTGCCACCCAGCCGCTGGATCCTGGCACAGCTTGCCCAGGGACCCGGGGGTCTCCTTCCCAGGCTGACGGGAGCGGCTGTTGCTTTCCCACTCGCAGGTGCAGTCAGTTGTGAAGCTAAGCGTGTATACTTTGTGGATCCCTCAAGCGTTAGCGTGGCCCCTCTGCCCACCCGATAGCCCTGCCCAGATTTGAGCCCCCACCTGCTCCACGGAGCAGGCTAGTCCAGCTTGATGCTGCTGCAAAAAAAATGTGTGTACCTGTGTTCCTGGATCCCTCGATATTAGCACAAGCCTTCTGCCTCTCTGAAATCCCTGTCAGACTGCGGGCTACTCCAGCTTGAAGCTGTCTGCTGAATTACACATGCACACCCTGAGGTCTGGGGACAATGCAGGCGCTCTGCCTGTCCCCAGCTGCCAGCAGCTGTCACCCTGGCACACACGCCAGCGAGCTGTGGTCTCGTTCAGGGGTCATTGCTGAGACCTTCACTCCCCCTGGGACCCCCCAGTAGCTCACCTGGGACACACACTGGTCCCATTCCAGGGGCTGGAGCAGAGACCCTCGTCTGCTCCCAGCATTGAGGCTTCCCCTCGCTGCAGCGAGGATGGGTGTCTGACCCCCCAAATTCACTCGGAGCTCTCCAAAGCTGGTCCAGTAGGTTCTTAATGGCCCATCAGTGGGTGACTGTGTCATTCTTCCCATTTCCTGTTGCCAGCAGCTTTGTGGCTCTGGTGTTGGTTGTTGCTTCCCCCATTATTTATTATCCCCTTTGCATTTAAAAGCTCCCTTTGACTGTATAGCCTGAACAACACAGGCACTCTCCCTGTCCTCAAATCCTTACAGTAAGTGGTATGAAAATTACAATTTTATTACTTTTTTTTTCTTTCAGAGGCTGAAACCAACCAACCCAGCGGCTCAGAAGGCTTTAACGACACCCACCCACTACAAACTGACGCCACGTCCAGCGACCAGAGTGCGACCAAAGGCTTTGCAGTCAGCTGGCTCTGCAAAATCTCATCTTTTTGATGGTCTGGATGATGATGAGCCGGCCCTGTCCAATGGTGCATTCATGCCAAAGTTAGTTTTTCTTTTGTGTATGTTAGAGGGAGGAGGTGGTGCAAGAATCTCATCAGATTCAGTAAATTCCTATATAGTGTCCTAAATTCTGTGAGTGTTCTGTCACCTGGTTCAAATATGAATAGCAATAGGAAATTTTCTGTAACGCTTGAATAGAACTGTTTTCTGTAAAGAAGAATGCTCAGCTGAAACTGTTAAGGCCAAATAAGCTGTAAAATGAGGTTATAGGAGCTTTGCTCCAGTCACGGGACAAAGTAAATTAGGAATTATTTCAAAGAGCTTAGAGGGTGTGATAGTTCCTGCATCTGAAAAAGAAGTCTTGTCAGGTTTGCTAATGCAGCCAGGATGAAGGGCAGAGTTCTGACACTCTTGTAGCCAGCCTAGCACTGGTTCTGTTTCAGCTACACAGATGTTTCTGTGAGAAACAAACAATGAGGCTGCGGATCTGCCCTGCTAAAGCTTTTGGTTTCAGTCTTCAGGAGCATCAGTGGCAATCAGATTGGAAAGGGGTTGGGAAAGCTTTGGGGTTTAGTTAAAAACAAACAACAAAAAACTTCAGAGAAAGATGCATCGGTCATTGCAAGTCCCGCTAAGCGCAGGCTTTTTAAGGACATTTTGTAGCTTTTGTGAACTTGGTTTGTCTTTAATTCAGCCTGAACCATCTGCTCACTTGCCAGGGAGAGAGCAGAGTGTGGAATGACTCAGTGTTTTGTTGGAAAACAGCAAATGAACAAAAGAGCAGAGCAGAGGGATACTTAGACTTTTTGGAGTGTAATTGGCGTGGATGTTCGGTGATGCTCAGAGTGCCGGCAGCGAACCCCAGCCTGGCCGCTGGTTTGCTCCTAAAGTGACCCTGTGGTGAAGAGGAACCTGTGTCTGTGGGCCAGGCTTGCTGTGCGGGGTGCTGTGCTCTGCTTTGGAAAACAGACAGTTCTGTGGTTTACTGCCCTTGGGCTTTGAAGCTTTCGGTGACTTACTCTTAGTCATAAAACAAAGCCTAGAATGGGATTCCAAGGAGTTTTAGTGTCTGAGAAGCCTTAACGTGCCCTGTGTGTGGGAACAGGTCTTACACAGCTGCTTTCTGGTCCCCGAGCATGTGAATCAAGCATGAAATCTATATTTGCGCAGTGGATATATCCAGATTTCTTTAATATTGGTGGTTTTTGTTTTGTTTTTTCTAGGAAGAGCATCAAAAAGTTGGTTTTGAAGAATCTCAACAGTAGCAATCTGTTCTCTCCTGTCAATCGTGAAAATGAAGACCTGGCTTCTCCGTCGGAGTATCCCGAGAATGGAGATCGGTATGTTGCTTCGTCCTGCAGGTGTTTGTACTTACAAGGAATGCAAACTGGTTATGCCTGTCTCTAAGCGGTTATTAATACAACAGGTAGTTATTTTCAGGGATGTCATCTTAGGTGCTCATTGGAAGCAAGTTGACCTGTTGTGAGATTAATTTCCTCTTAAACCAGCCGTATTTTCTTCCTGTGGGGTCACAGACCAGTTAATTCCCTCCCAAATCAGGAGCTCAAAGCGGAATAATTTATTTTCTGGATATGTTCCTCTTCATTCCCTGTAGCGAGAAGCTAGGTCGTTGCTTGGGGGAAGTGAGAAACCTGACCCTGAGGTGGGAAGAACCCATCCTTCTGCTTATTCCTCAGTGCAGTGGGAATTGCAAGGACACCCCACTGATCAAATGTCTCAGAGTAGTGATACATTCTCTGCGTACTGAAATGAGGAATCTCTGAGGCCATCTCTTCCCCCCAAAACCAGAACACCCAACCTCCTCTTAAAAAAAAATCTGTGCCCGTATTTCCGATGAACACCAGTTTTGGTTTGGTTTTTCTTCTAATCAGAGGCTGGACAAATTTGTGACAAGCTCAACATTTGAATTTTATTGAAAGCTACTAGAAGTAAGAACTGGTTATGGGAGAGGGGAACCTTGTTGCTGATCACCATAGTCCTGACCTGGGCAGTTCCTGATGGGACAGAGGTGTTTGTGAGCAGCGTTTCCAGCAGCCAGGTCCAACAGGCAGCTCTCTGAAGCTGGTGCTTTGGAGTGAGGACATTGAGGGGCTGGAGCAGGGCCAGAGAAGGGCCGCGGAGCTGGGGAAGGGTCTGGAGCACAGGGCTGACGAGGAGTGGCTGAGGGAGCTGGGGGGGTCCAGTCTGGAGAAGGAAGGCTGAGAGGAGACCTCATCACTCTCTACAGCTGCCTGAAAGGAGGGTGCAGTGAGGGGGGTGCTGGGCTCTGCTCTAAAGGAACAAGTGATGGGACAAGAGGAAACAGCCTCAAGTTGCGCCAGGGGAGGTTTAGGCTGGAGATTAGAAAAAATTTCTTCACTGCAAGAGTGATTAGGCATTGGAACAGGCTGCCCAGGGACGTGGGGGAGTCACCATCCCTGGAGGGGGTCAGGAAACGTGTGGATGTGGTGCTTGGGGACATGGGTTAGTGGGTTGGGTGGGGTTGGGGTGATGGTTGGACTTGATGATCCTTGAGGGCTTGTCCAACCTTCATGATTCTGGGATTCGATGACTGTCACAGTAGTGGTCTCAAGTTTGATTCTATCATGGTGCCTGCAAGACATCCTGTTCTCCTGAAGCAGTGTGTATTTTGGGCACAAAAGTCTGTAACAGCCTGGCTCGCAAATCTTTGGAAGTTTCAGATGGGAAGTGACCTTGGGCAGGGGGGTCTCTGTTCCTCAAGCGGTCCCAGCACTGAATTCACACCTGGTTGTTGTGGGCTCTGTCCAGTTGGGTCTCTCAAACCTCTGTGGATTCTGCAGCCTCCCTGGGTTGCTGTTCCAATGCCTGACTGTCCTCATGGATTTCCCTGTTTCAGTTGACCGTTGTTTCTCATCCTTCTGTCACATGCATCTGTGGAGAGCCTGAATTTTGTCTCCAGCATTGACAGGCTGTTGTTACACCCCCCTTGCAGCCTTTTCTCCAGACTGAACAACCACCTTCACTCAAGCTCTCCTTCCAGAGCACGTGCTTCATTCCCCCAGCCATCGTGGTACCCCTCTCCCAGTCTTAGCAGTGTCTTCCTTGTAGTGGGAGCCCCAGATCAGGTGCACCTGGCAGAGGGTGCCCAGCAAGGGCAGAGTGAAGGGCAATAATCGCCTCCTGACTCTCCATTGATGTCACGGTCCTGTTCTCTTTTTACATGAAAAGACCCCAGAATTTTAATGTTGACATATGTCCTCTAGGACTAAATAATTCAAAAATTTATTCTTCATTTCCTCAGGTTCTTTGTGCCGGTACCTCCCGATGAAAACCACAGACAGGATGGTGAGCGCGAGGAGGAGGAGGATCACCACGAAGTGACCAGATTTTACACGAACCCCATCGCCAAGCCCATTCCCCAGACCCCGGAGGGCACTGGGCACAAACATCAGAACAACATGGACAACACCATCGTGGCTCTGAACATGCGGGCGGCCCTGCGGAACGGGCTGGAAGGCAGCAGCGAAGACGCCTCGTTCCATGACGATTCCCTGCAGGACGAGCGTGAAGAGGAGCCTGAAACCGTGTACCACGTGCACCCTGCAGGTTGGGCTGGGGGGGTCACGCAGCTTCTTCTCTTCTTTTCCTTTCCCTCCTCTTTTCTTAAGAAGGATACAGATCTTGCTTTTCTTAGTGCAGAAATGTTTTCTGCCGAGTCAAAGAGCAATTAAATTTCATTGCCCAGGTTTATATTAGGTTGAGGTAGTGAGATGCATGAGAAGAAGGACCCAGTCTGTAATTGTTCTGCAGGAGCAGACGGAGCTGACTGTTGTTCAGGAGCAAGATCTTAAGAATTAGAAGTCTAACGCTTGGTAGCTTCAGCGTGCAAACTGCACTGGAGAGTTTGCCAGGAAAAGGAATGGACCATAGAACGTGGCTGTCGCTACAGACCCATCGTGTTTTCCGTGCTCTCAGTTCTGTCTCAGGGTTCAGTAAAACTGGAAAAGAGGGAGAAGTGGGAAAATGTGACGAGGGGTCTTGAGTACCTCTCCCTTAACTAAGGCTTTATAGCTGTTAAAGCGTGGGGACATGTATTAGAGTTTGTTAAACTCATGAGTGATCTGGGGAAGGTGAAAAGATTTGTTTATTCTTTCAGGCAGTATGTGGCATCTAACTAAACTAGGAGTGACATACTCAAATGTCTTAAAACATTTTGTAGATGCAAAAAGCTTCTGTGAATTTTAAAGATCATGAGACAAATTAGTAGATGAAAAAGCACTGGAGGCTGTTAAATGTAAGAGATGCTGCGTCTTGGTCAGCAGGTGCCCGAGCCCCAAGTTATTAAAGCTGGGTGAGCGTTTCTATCAAGTGTTGCTCTGTGTTTGCATTTTTCTTTTTACCGACACGTCTGCTACTGGTCTGATGACAGGCTGCGAGGCTGGAGGAGCCCGGCATAGTAGCTGTCTTCAATTTGCCACGAAGGCTGTGGAATGGAGGCATTGGGATTTCTCTGTTTGCTTTTATTCCACGGGTTCTCAGCTCGTTGGGGACCTTCAGTTGGTCGGGCTTGCAAAAGAAATGGAATGAAACTCTGGAAATGTTCAAATTGACAACTGGTCAGCCCAGTGCTCACTGACCTTTCTGTTGCAGGAATTGTTCTGACAAGAGTTGGCTACTACACCATCCCGTCCATGGAGGAGCTGGCTCGGTTGACTAATGACAGGACCGAGTGTGTCGTGACAGACTTCACCATCGGCCGCAAAGGTGAGCGCGGGCAGCTGGAGCCGCTTCAAGTTGAGCTGGGGATTGTAAAGCTCTGGAACCTGAATCTGAGTTCCAGGCCCTCGGTGTAATTACAGACAGCGCCCTTGTGTTGTGAGCAGCTCGTATCGAGGTCTCGGTAGTGCTGCAGTCTGAAATATTACACCCTGTGAACAGAAGCACCTGCAGCTTTGAAGAGACTTGCTCTTCTTAAATGTAAAAGTTGTAAAGTCCAGCCTTGCTGGAGCATTGGTGCAAAGCTGATCGTCATTGCTTCCATCCTGGTTGCTATCTGCACTGGAGCTGGCTGGAGTCTAGTGAAGAACCCTCAGCCAAGCTGTATTCTTCCCTGCTTTTATTTAAAAAAAAAAAAAAATTATATCGTGTATACAACTTTTTAAAACATTTTTTCTAAGTATGCTGTAAAGCTGAGGGTGCACTTAGTGTGGGCAGTACAAATAGCCAAGAGATAACAAAAAGCTTTCTGTGCAAATGAGTTGGCTATAAAAATTAACGTATCTTTGCTATTTTCACGCTGGGAAGGAGCAGTCACTTGTCCTTTGTTCTGGAGCCATAACAGAGCGAGGTGGTCAGGGTGGGAAAGGAGGAATCCAGCGGGAGCGGAGGCTCTCTGGTGTGGGGTTTTTCATGGACAAGTTGTGATGTTCCGGGTTGTTTTGCAGGTTACGGATCAATTTACTTTGAAGGAGAAGTAAATCTAACTAACTTAAATCTGGATGACATTGTACACATCCGGAGAAAGGAAGTCATTGTTTACCCTGACGATGAGAGAAAGCCACCAATTGGGGAAGGTTTGAATAGGTAATGGTGGGATTTGGGCTGTGGGGGACAGCAGCTGGTCAGGATGGTTTTCTAATGCTGACAATCTCCCGCACTGGCAGGCACCTACCGAGAAATCTACATCAGAGGGGTGTGTGCAGGTGGCAGCATTATGTAGTTACTAGATATTGCGAATTTCTGAATCTGAAATTGAGCTGAAAAGCGGGTTTGAGCCCCCGTGTTCCATTCTCAGCTCCCATGTGTGTGCTTTGCCTGAAAACCTTGCAGCGTCTCATGCTTTTCTGTGTTCAACAGACGAGCTGAAGTTACCTTAGATGGGGTCTGGCCTACGGATAAAACATCTCGTTGCCTGATAAAAAGCCCCGAGCGACTGGCAGAGATGAACTACGAAGGCAGACTGGAGGCTGTGTCGCGGAAGCAGGGCGCTCAGTTCAAGGAATACCGCCCGGAGACAGGATCCTGGGTGTTTAAGGTGACGGGTTTGTTCTAGTTGTAAAGCGATTTACACGAATATTGGGGGTGGTTTGAAGTTAGAATCTCCTGAGAACTTACAATTCAAAAACTTTGCTAAAGTTCTGTAAAGTGTCTCAAGTCCTTCAGCTGTCGTGCAAACTGTCCTCACCCAGCTGAGCAGAGCTTTTTTGCCTGCACAGAGCAGATGTCCTTCATCTGTCCAAAAGCTGGATGTGTTCCAGGTGTCACCGCTGCTGCTCACGCCAGCTCCTTGTTCAGACCTTTCAGAAACGGGTGGCTGAAATCTCTCCTCCCAGGTGTGACACATTTTCCCTTCTCACTACACAGGTGGCACACTTTTCCAAGTACGGCTTGCAAGATTCAGATGAGGAAGAGGAAGAGCATCCTTCCAAAGTGGACACAAAGAAGTTAAAAACCGCACCCGTGCTTCCCCCGGGGCATCTGCCACCCCAGCAGATGGCCCTGAACGGCAAGCCAACACCTCCAGCTCAGGTAGAAGGAGGACAGTGACTAAAACAATTCATAACATGAAATCTGAAGAGTAGCTGGTTCCTGGGGAGGGGTTGTTGAACTAACACGTAGCCTGGAATCTGAAGAGCCAAACCAAACTCACATAAACTCCTTAGGTCTTCTGGCCTCTTGATGAGTGTTTGCATGTTCTTTTTTTTGACATTTCCTACTGGGGATGCAGAGGGATGGGGAGGCTTTAAACCCTTGTTTCCTGTTGCGTTCTGCTCTAGGTTGCGTTTGGCATATTTGCACCATTAAAGGAAGAGCCCTTGTTTCTGTGAATATAGAATACATGCTATATAGTTACAACGCCATGCGCTGCCTGCCTCGAGAGTGACGTGCATTAATTGGACTTCACCGTCAGTTAGTGTGCAAGACTGTATGCTTTCTATTTTGAGAATGTGCTCTATTTTTATTAAAAATCACTTTTTTAAGGCCCGTTATATGCTGGATTTTTAAATGTATTTGATTCACAAGTGACGGCTCCTAAAGCTTTGTGGAACACCCTCGGTGGGACACCTCTGGCTTACACAGGGACAGTGACGTTTTATCCACTTCATTGGTAACCCCTTATGGTCTAACATTAATTTCATTTTTTAAAAAATCCTTTTACGTATTTTTAAAGGTCAGTCTGGTTGCAGCTGATACACTTGCAATTCCCAAATGTAATTATTATGGATATTGTCAAGCTAAACTGGGAGCTGCATCACTGTGGGTGAAAAACCAGCCCGTTTGGGAGGCATCCTGCTGTCGATGGGATGGAATACACTCTCTATGCCAGGTGTTAACAGTAAGTGCCTGTGAACCACCGATAGCTTTGAAAAATAATTTGTCGCAAAGCAGAATGCAAGCGCAGAGAGCAGATTTTTTTTTTTCTCCAAAACCGGGTTCTTGATTTTCTCGTGAAAATCAACCTTGGGCAGTCAGGGAGTGCAGGGGGCTGAGCGGAGGGTATCGAGCAGTGGGATGGGGCTTGCCGAGAGGTTTGTGTTGCTGTGTGTCAGCAGGCTTTCTGTCCCACCCTTCATCAGTCTGTGGGCGCAGTGAAGGGCGATCTGGGAGCTTGCAGCTCCCCGAGGCACGGATCGTGTGCCAGGGTGCTGCTGGGTGCGTGGCTGGTGTTCCCGGTGTGCCATGCCACGGGGAAGCGGAGGAGGAGAGTTTCATTTCTGTATCTCTGAAGTCAAAGCATGAAAAACAGCTTCAGAGGCAGCACTCTCGAGCAGGCTGAACACTTTTTTTGTACGGGGTCTAGTCCTTTCGGAACCAGGAGATGTTCTAGCAGCGTTTCTCTTCTTCGGGTAACTTGGGGCCCTTCTGAACAGGGGTCTGTTCGTAGTGTCGGGAGATAGAGCAAATCACTTTATTGCTGCTTGTGCAAAAGTACTTTCATAGTAGGAAAATGGTAAATCAACTGGGAATTGCTTTAATCTTACATAGTCCAGTGGGAGGTGTCCCTGCCCGTAGCAGGGGGGTGATCTCTAAGGTCCCTTCCAACCCAAACCATTCTGGGATAGCCTGTGATGTAGCGATAACCCCTGGAGAACGCTGGAGCCACTCCAGCTCTGCTGCTGGAGGTCTCCGTGAGGTTGGAGGGACCCCAAACTCCAGTTCTGGTGGCAGGAGTTCACCAAACACCTTTGGGACCAGTCAGTGCTGGAGTGTTCCAGGATCCCAATGGTGGCAGCCCTGGTGGCCGTACGCACCAAAAGCCAGCGCCAGCGCAGTCTCCTCTTTATCAGAACACGCTGTCGTGACAAATCGGGTGCGCTGCCACCTCTCCTGTGGATTCCAGCTTTGGAGAATCCCAAAGTAGTGCAGAGCCGCTGCTTTGTCGCTCCTCCTGGCTCCCTGGCTGATTAAAACCCAATTCATCCTGGTTTCATAATGTACGTGTGTGCATTGTGTGTGGGATGAACACACGGCTGTCTAACGGACCTGCCTGTGTGTCCCACCTTTAGTTTTCCTTCTTGCTGCTTTTCACGTTAGCGGGGACCAGGGCTGGTGTTTAAGCCGTGAAAAATATTGGGAATACGTGTGATGTGTTCAAGCCTGTTACAGATTCACATGTACTCGGCAAAAACACGTTAATTAACCTCCTGACTTGGGTACCATGAACTCAGGGTTTTGTTTCTGAAAACAGGAAAAACATCTAGCTTTGTTTCCCAAACCTCTGAGAAACTCACAGCTTGGCTTAGAAACCTGGCAAGCTCTTGGTGTGTAAAGCTTCTGAAAATAATAATAATTCATTGGTGTGGAGGAAGCAATTAGGATCTAAACTCGGGGTTTTGTCTTCCCTTGCCACCTTGAATATTAATGAATTTATTAATGATTCAAGCTCCACGGGGAATGGTTACACCAGGGCCCTGGCTGCATTAAAGCACAAGGAAGGGAGCAGTGACACTCCTGTGTAACCACGTTTTGACTTGGAAATCTGTCCCGCATGCTGCCGGCATGCTCGGGTACCACGGGCTGAGGCTCTTTCCGTGGCTGCTGTGAAGCTCTGTCTTTACAGACCCCCGGGCTGAGTTTATCTCCCTCGCCCAAAAGCCTTCGTTGGATTTCTTGACTCTGACGAGCGAGGCAGCAGCCATTTGAACATGCTCTTACATTCCTTTGCACGATTTCCAGCGCTCTGGCTGCCGCAGTTTCCTTGCTCGTATATACACATCGCTCCGGAGCAGTGCTTCAGCAGCCTGCACGTTGTTCTTAGAGAAACCACACGAGCTGAGAGCATGAAGCTCTCACAGGACACTCTGATCTAAGCAACAGGAGTGGTCAGAGTGGAGCAAAACCAGTGGAGCCCCAGTTTGGGTTCTGAGCCCATGGGGAGGCTCCGTGCTGTCCCCGCAGTCACAAGCTGGGCAGCAGGCGAGGGGACGGCAGTGGTCAGGGTTCGTTCGTGGTGTCTGCTCCTTGTTTGTGCTGGCTGAACGCTTGCTGGCCCTGCCTGGAGTGCGAGTCCGAGCTGGCTGTAGCAGCTCTAGGTGTGTAGAGGTCACCTTGGGCTCATCGCAGAGGTGATGCCGTGTGTTTGCCTTCAGAAAAAACATAAAAATTCTTCCTCCTGCCTGGGACTGGCAGTAGAGATGAGAAATTCAGCTGCAGATTGGAAGAGCATCACTATATTTAACTTTTTAAATGCTAATTTGCTAGTAATAAGTAGAATATCATTGGAAAAACCCCACAGCTTCCCAGTTCAATGACACTTGTGTCCTGGTTTAAAATTAAAAAAAAAGATTTTTACACGTGTGTGTGTACACGCACTCCTGAAGGGCTTCGTGTCCACTCAAAACATCTGTTAAGTTCTTTGTGGACTACAAACTCAATGTTTTTAATTTGTGCTACGGGGAAACACATTTAATTTGCGTTTGGGGAAACAAAGCGGGTATTGCTGTGACCCATCTCCTGCTCAGGCACCTGGAGCGTCCCAGGTCGAGCTTAGGCACGGGAGACTTTTCTTGGTGTGATGGCACCTGGAGGGAGAAGGGAGGAAGGCAGGATGCACCAAACTCGCTTCCTTTTTGTTGGTGACATGAAAAGCTGAAGAGCAGTCTCTTAAGTGAATGGCAGAACTCGGTAAACGTCAGGAGGACATCACTGAGCGGTGACTTCTCCTTCGCTGTAACTCGTGCTGTTGCGTTACAAGGTGAAGAAAGCAGGAATAGGTTCTGTAGCTCCATCTCTAAGCTTAATGTGGAGTCTTGACCCGAGCCAGGGACTGCTCCGCTTCGTTTGCAGGTGATTGTTGGAAATACCAAATCCTGTTTCTGCACACCGTCATGATGTGATGTTGTCTGACCCGGTCTCCGTGTGTGTCGGCAGAGCCCCGAGGCGGAGCAGCTGGGCCGGGTGGCGGAGCTGGACAGCGACATGGCAGACATCACGCAGGAGCCTCTGCATGAGCCGCTTCTGGAGAATAACCTGATGGAGGAGCCCGAGGTGGTCCCCGCTTCGACGCACATCGCATCGACCCTGGGCATTAACCCCCACGTCTTGCAGGTGAGGGGCTGGCAGCTTCCCCTCTCTAAAGAGGCTCAGTTTGCACCCGCAAGGGTATTTTTATACTAGCTTGCAACCATCACACCTATAATGGGATTAAAACTTGCCCGTCAGACTTCTGCATTTTTGTGGAAACCCTTTATAGTCATGAAAAGCTTAATGAAAATCACCTTAAAGCTAGAATTCATGTTTCAAAATGAAGAAGTGTGGGCACGGTGATAATTGTAGAATCATGAAGGTTGGGAAAGACCTCAAGGGTCATCCAGTCCCACCATCAACCCAACCCCACCCAACCCACCAACCTGTGTGGTGTTGGGTTGATGGTTGGACTTGATAAGTTCAACTTATAGCTGGGCAGGACTGCCTTGAGCCCAGCTTGGGGAAAACGAGGCAGTAGGAGGGCTGGTCTTGATTTGGGTTTTGATTTGTGTCATGTTAGTACCTGGAACGTTTCTGGGCTTCTACTTGTGTTTTTGTGAGGAAAAAATAGCCCTGGAGGTGTTGCTTAAGCTGGAAACCCAGCAGGCAGAGCCGAGATCTAGGCAAACACGATTATTTTAGGAATTCACATCCATCCTAACAAGCCTTGTGATGCTGATTTAATTAGTGGTTTGCAAAAGTTTCTCAGCAGCTGACAAGCTTGCTTTCACTTCTCCTGGACTGCGTGTGCCTTCGCTGTTATTTGAAATATTTCTGGCATGAGTGTGTTGTGGTGTGTGACATGTGAAGTTATCTTTGTTGGGAAGGAGCTGATGGGATGGGCTGGCTGCCGTTCTGAGCGTGATTGCTGATGTCCAGGCTTGGCTTGTCGCCTTTGCAGATCATGAAAGCTTCCTTGCTTGCTGATGAAGATGACCTAGAGTTGATCCTGGATCATCATCCTGGGAAGCAACCCATAAAAATGGACGCTTCTCAAGAGATCTGTTCCCCGAGGCTCCCCATCTCAAAATCCCAAGGACAGAAAAGATACTCAGGTATTGTGAGAAACCACGTATTGAACATGGGGCAGACCAGCTCTTTTTTTC